TTTATTGTAGCACTGTTCACAATAGCCAGGATATGGAAACAACCCAGATGCCCCACCACAGATGAATGGATCCAAAAATTGTGGTATCTATACAATATTATGTAGCCATTAGAAACAACAAAATAATGGCATTTACAGGGAAATGGATGGAGCTAGAAGAAATCATAACGGCACATGGTCTCCCTGATAAGTGGATGTTAAATCCAAAATGTTAGGTGATACGACAAAATTAACAGGACATAAGAAATAAAGGACTGGGGCTGGGAAGGTGGCTCAGTGGTAGAGCGCTTGCCTTGTATGCATGAGGCCCTGGGTTCGATTCCTCAGCACCACATAAGCACAAAGAAAAAAGCCGGGAGTGGCGCTGTGGCTCAAGTGATAGAGTGCTAGCCTTGAGCTGAAGAGCTAGCGGCCTGGCCCAGAGTTCAGGCCCCACAACTGGACCAAAAAAAAAAACAACAACAAAGGACTTTCACTCATCTGGTGGAATCACTACTAAATAACCCCATGCTGCTGATCACATGTATGGTATATATGTACACACTGGAGGGAAACTAGGAGGACGACATAGAACTAGAGGGAATCACGGAAAAACATATAACAGCGGGACCCATCAGCTGCACTGGACATTGATCAAAATGAACTAAGCAACACAATGGCAGTGATGGGAGGGAGGGAACAAGTGGGAGAAGAGGGAACAGCTGATACTATGCAAAAAAAGAGAAATGTACATATCACCCAATGTGGACGAAATAACTGTACTGCAGAGCTCACAGAACTCATAAATGTTATAGACCATGATAGACAATTTGCTCCATGAAAGTTAGAATGTGTTTGTGACTTTAACTAAGCATCACTATCCCACAATACTGTGAAATTTGGGAAATTATGTAACCATTTAATCGCAGTAAAAAATGTGGGGAAAAAAAAAAGTCAAGCAAGAGCATGAGGCCTAAGTTCAAGCCCCAACAACAGAACCAGAAAAAAAAAGTACAGGATAACTTATTTAAAACAACACCTATGGGACTAAGAATGTGGCTTAGTGATAGAGTGCTTGCCTAGCAGGCATGAAGCCCTGGGTTCAATTCTTCAGTACCACATAAACAGAAAAAGCAGAAATGGCACTGTGGCTGAAGTGGTAGAGTGCACGACTTGAGCGAAAGTTCAGGGACAGTGCCCAGGCCTTGAGTTCAAGCCCCACAACTGGCAAAAAATAAAATAAAAATAAAATAACACCTAAACCAAATGAAAAGATAATATTTCAAACAATTGAACAGACAGAAACTGCAGCATGGTGATCCACAACTGTAATCATAGCTATTTAGAAGGTGGAAAAGATGAGGATTGTGATTTGAGGCCAATCCAGGGAAAAAGTCATCAGGACTCCATCTCAATCAGTAAGACATGTAGTGGTGACTCAAGCCTGTGATCCTGGCTGCTCAAGAGACTGTATGCAGAAGAATTGCCATCCAAAGGCAAAAGCATGGGACTTGGAAATAGAGGCATGTCTCAAGTAGTAGAGTGCCAGTCTTGAAATTAAAAGCCCAATGAGAGAGCAAGACCCTGAATTCTGTGCTCCAATAGAAGCACAGAAGAAAACCAAAACAAAATAACCAAGCACTGGAGGCTCATGCCTATAAGCTTAGCTACTCAGGAGGCTAAGATCTAAGAATCACACTTAAAAGCCAGCTTTGCTTGGACAAACAAACCCAAGAGACTTTTTCTTTTTTGCTGAGGCTTGAACTCTGGGGCTGAGCTCTGTCCCTTAGTTTCTTCTGCTCAAGGCTAGGGCACTACCACTTAAACCACAGCACCACTTCTGGCTTTTTTCTGAGTAGTTTATTCTGAAGACAAGAGTCTTATAGACTTTCCTGCCCAGGCTGGCTTCAAACTGCGGATTCTCAGATCTGAGCCTCCTGCGTAGCTAGGATTATAGGTGTGAACCACTGGCACCTGTCTTCAAGAGACTTCTATCTCCAATAAACCATCAAAAAGTCAGAAGTGGAGCAGTGCCTCAAGTGATAGAGCATCCATCTGGTAAAGTTCGGACAGTGTATAGGTCCTAAGTTCAAGCCCCAGTACCAATATGGGTGCGCGTGCGCACACACACACGCACACGCACACACACACGCACACACACACACGCACACGCACACACACACAGAGTTCAAGCCCCAGTACCAATATGGGTGTACATACGCACACGCACACACACACATACCACTACCTGAACACACACACACACACACACACACACACACACACACACTACACTACACTACACTAAAGCAAAATAGGGCTAGGGGTATGGCTCAAATGATAGAGTATCTGCCTAATAGGTATAAAGCCCTGAGTTTGATCAAAGACCAGTATTACAGGGGGAAGGAGGGAGTTGTGAACAAATACATCATAGAAGAAAAAAAATCTAAATTCATAAAAAGATGTACATATATATATTGACATCTCTATCTCTATCTATCTATATATATATAAATACTGAAGATTAGCCTAACTGGGTATTCATTTAAATATCTGTAATAACATTCATTTACACCTATAAAGCATAGTTACTAGGGAAGCTGAGATTCAACAAATCTCAGTTTGAGGGACAAATGTTGAAGATACTTTTTCTCAACCAATAGCAGGGTACAGTGGTATGCACCTGTGATCTCAGCTACACAAGAGTCTAAGACCAGGAGCATCATGCTTCTAGACCAGACAGGACAAAAAGGTTCAAGAAACATGATTAGATTGAAGAAACAGAACACTGTAGTACATGCTTGTTATCCCTACTATTTCAGGAAGTATAAAATATGAGGACCGATGTCAAGGCACAAATCTGGACAAAAGACAAGACTCTATTTTAAACAACAAAACAAACAAGCAAACACATGGGGCTGGGAAGGTGGCTCAGTGGTAGAGTGCTTGCCTTGCATGCATGAGGCCCTGGGTTCAATTCCTCAGCACCATATAAGCAGAAAAAGGCGGAAGTGGTGTTGTGGCTCAAGTGGTAGAGTGCTCGCCTTGTGCTGAAGAGCTTAGGGACAGCGCCCAGACCCAGAGTTCAGGCAATTGAGGGATGGGGGAGACAACAACAAAACACAATTGGACAAAATATGGCTGGATGCATAGTTCACCAGGCGATCACTTGCCAGATATGAAGACCTAAATTCAAACCCTAGTACTACAAACACAAAAACACACACACTGAGTCTCATAATAGGAATCTCTTATAATAATAGATCAACTTACGACAACCAGGTAATGGCCTTTCTTTTAAAAATCCACCTCCACTTCTAATCCAAAATTGTAAATAAAGGATACTTTTCCTGATATCACAAGCATTAGCAGTCAACAAGGTTACAAAATCTTTTGCATCAGTTCTGAAATTCTCAGTTAAGCAGATCATCTGTAGGTAGCTGGCAACATTTAGCTTAAAAACAGAGAGAAAAAAACAAGAAATAGCATTAGTTTCAGAGTTAATAGAACAATATATAAAAGCAAAGTAAGTTTTTCTTATACAGTATCTTCAGATCTTGAGAATTAAATTTCCATTTAAAAAATGTATGAGCATATGACACCAAATTAGAGGGATTTTCCATATATTTCTTTTCTTTTCTTTGTTTTTTTTGTCGGTTGTGGAGCTTGAACTCCAAGCTTGGACACTGTCCCTGCGTTCTTCAGCTCAAGGCGAGCACTCTTCCGCTTGAGCCATAGTGCCACTTTCCGTTTTCTATAGGTTTATTGAAGGTAAGAGTCTCATGGACTTTCCTGCCTGGGCTGGCTTTGAACCAGATCTAGCCTCTTGAGTAGCTATGATTACAGGCATGAGCCATCAACGCCGGCTATTTATTTCTTTTCTTTACTGTGTTTAGTCTAGAAAAGCAAAGAAACTTACATGAGAGATTCTCCAACCCTGAATATTACAGGCAGTTTTATCAATCTTGGAAAAAACCTCTTAGGATTAAGTATGGTATACCTCAATAGAATATTTCATAGCCATCAAATGTATGAATACTACAATACTGAAAAATACTTATGTAATTTTTAAAATAGAATAAGAAAATTGTATCAATGAGTATTTATATGTAAGTACACAGACACACACATATGTTTATATGTCAATGTAGTCATTGATTTTATTTTACTCCATAGTCTTTTTTCTAAAAAGAAATCATGGTAGATTTTTTTTTTTTTTTTTTTTGGTCGGTCCTGAGGCTTGAACTCTGGGCTGGGCGCTGTCCCTCAGTTCTTCAGCTCAAGGCTAGCGCTCTATCACTTGAGCTACAGGACCACTTCCGGTTTTCTGATGGTTTATTGGAGATAGGAGTTCCCGGACTTTCCTGCCCAAGCTGGCTTTGAACTGTGATCCTCAGCTCTCAGCCTCCTGAGTAGCAAGGATTACAGGCGTGAGCCACCTGTGTCTGGCTAGATTGTTTTTTTATTTGCCAGTCCTTGGGCTTGAACTCAGGACCTGAGTACTGCACCTGGGCCTCTTTGTGTTCAAGGCTACCACTTGAGTCACAGCCCTGGCTTTTTCTGAGTGGTTTATTGTAAATAAGAATCAAATGGCCTTTTCTGCCTGGACTTGCTCTGAACTTGCAATCCTCAGATCTCAGCTAGGATTACAGGCGTGAGCCACTGGCACCTGGCCATGTTTTTAATTTAACTGTATTAGGTATCTAAAGGATGGGTCTGGCTCTCCAACATCCTCATGGAGTTCTTATTTGCGTGTGTGTGTGAGAGAGAGAGGGAGAGAAAATGTATACTGGGGCTTAAAATCAGTGCATCACTCCTGCTTCGCTTTTTCACTCAAGGCTGGTATTCTACCACTTGAGCCACACCTTCACTTCTGGTGTTTTGTTGGTTAATTGGAAATGAAAGAGTCTCACAGATGCTTCTCCTTGGGCTAGCTTCAAACCTTAATTTTTAGGTCTCAACCTTTTGGAGTTACTAAGATTACAGGTTTGAGCTACCACTTCCTGGTTAAAATGTTCCACTCTTGATGGACATATTGTTTGTTTTGTTGAGACAGAATCTTGACATGTAGATTAGCAGTAGATTAGATCTCCTGCCTTAGTCTCCTGAGTGTTGCTCAAAGTCCCTGAGAATATCCCTCAGGAAGTTTTGGAGGTGATGAAAATGTTCTGCATCTTCATGTGAGTGATAATGATTACAATGGGATTTTACATGTTTACTTTCACTGGGTAATAGACATAAGTGCAAATTTTAACTATATTGAACTCTCTTAGCCAGGCATGGAGACACATTCTGGCTGAAACAGAAGATCTTAAGTTTGAATCTAGCCTAGGTACTTAGAAAAACAGAAAACAAAAGTGCTGTGAGTGTGAATCAAGTGGTAGAAAGTTTCTAAGTATGCAAGAGGCTCTGAATTAACTCTCTAGTGCCATTAAAAAAATTCATCTTAAGAAAGAAACACTACTAGGGGGAAAAAAATCTCAAATGAACTTTGGAATTAGAAAAAATTAAGTATTTGAAGAAAAGTAAAAAAATAATTACAGCCAAGAGCCAGTGGCTCATGCCTATCATCCTAGCTTTTCAGGAGGCCGAGATCTGAGGACTGCGGTTGGAAGCCGGCACAGGCAGGGAAGTCCATGAGATTCTTTTTTTTTTTTTTTTTTTTTTTTTTTGGGTCCGGTCATGGGGCCTGAACTCTGGGCCTGGGTGCTGTCCCTCAGCTCTTCAGCTCAAGGCTAGCGCTCTACCACTTGAGCCACAGCGCCACTTCCGGCTTTTTTCTTTTTGCTTATGTGGTGCTGAGGAATCGAACCCAGGGCCTCTGGCATGCAAGGCATGTGCTCTACCACTGAGCCACCTTCCCAGCCCCCCATGAGATTCTTATCTCCAGTTAAGCACCAAAAAAATCCATAAGTGAATCTGTGGCTCAAGTGAAATGAAGATAGCCTGTGCAAGAAAGCTACAGGGCAGTGACCGACCAGGCTCTGAGTTCAAGCCCAGAACTAGCATACACACAAAAATAAATAAATAAAAATAAAAGTCTTCTAAAACTCCCAAGTTTTATTCCTTAGCAAAGTTTAAATTATAGCTTAATAACAAAAGCTTTTATGTAATTATGATATGCCACTGATTATTATGAAAATGCAAAACTTACCAGGGACGGAGTATTGAAATTGATTTCTTCAAAACAACCATCAAACACTAAACTAAATGTTGGATCTACAAAAAAAAAAAAAAATATATATATATATATCAAACAGTAAAAGCTGTAAATAACTTTTTCCAACACTGAAAGTAGTCCTGAGCAAAGGGCGTGGCTACCGTAGCAGAGCAGCTGCCTGGTAAGGGCAAAGTCTGGAGTTCAATTTCCAGTATCACCGAATGAAAAAAAAAAAAAAACCATTGGGCTGGGAATGTGGCTTAGTGGTGTAGTGCTTGCCTACTATGCATGAAGCCCTGGGTTCAATTCTTCAGTACCACATACACAGACAAGGCTAGAAGTGGCGCTATGACTCAAGCAGTAAAGCGCTTGCCTTGAGCTGAAGAGCTCAGGGACAGGTCTAAATCCAGAGTTCAAGCCTCACGACCGATTAAAAAAAAACGACAATTTAGAAAACAAAAAGGTACAATGTCTATGTGCCAACTAATATTTATATAAAATATGTATATACGTGTATATATAGAGACAGAGAGATGAACTCCAAAATATGGGGGGGAAAAATCCACACACACAGAGTTTCCTCTTATTTGAGGTTTTGCTATCATTTCTGTTGGTCATAGGGCTTGAAATCAGGGTCTGGGCACTGTCCCTGAGCTCTTTTACTCAAGACTAGTAATCTACCACTTGAGCCACAGCGCCACTTCTAGCTTTTTCTGTTTATGTGGTACTGAGGAATTGAACCCAGGGCTTCATGCATGCTGGGCAAGCACTCTACCAGTAAGCCTCCTTCCCAGCTGCAAATCATTCATTTTTCTAGTGTATCCATGCTGCGTAAGTTTTCTGTCCATTGGCCACTTAGCCTCCATGGATATCAGGCTGACTTTCATGATATTACAATGTTCAAATAACCCTTATTTTACTTAAAAATAGCCTCAAAACAGGTGGTTTATGTTTTTATTTTTTTGGTGCTGGTTCTGAGGCTCGAATTCAAGATCTGGGCACTGTCTCTGAGCTTCTTTTGGTTTGGTTGGTCATGGGGCTTGAACTCTGGGCCTAAGCACTGTCCCTCAGCTCTTCAGCTCAAGGCTAGTGCTCTACCACTTGGGCCACAGTGCCACTTCTGGCTTTTTCTGTTTATGTGGTGCTGAGAAATAGAACCTAGGGCCTCATGCATGCGAGGCAAGCACTCTACCACTGAGCCTCCTTCCCAGACTCTGAGCTTCTTTTGCTGAAGGCTAATACTCTACCACTTAAGCCACAGCTCCACTTATAGCTTTTCTGGTAGTTTGGTGGGGATAAGAGTCTCACAAAAAGGGCAGGTGGCTCAGTGGTACAGTGCTTGCCTTGCATGCATGAGGCCCTGGGTTCAATTCTTCAGCATCACATAAGCAGAAAAAGCTGGAAGTGGCACTGTGGCTCAAGTGGTAGAATGCTAGCCTTGAGCTGAAGAGCTTAAGTACAATACCCAGGCCCCGAGTTCAAGCCCCATGACTGACCAAAAAAAAAAGAAAAAAAAAAAAAAAAAGCTGGTCACTGGTGGCCCACACCTATAATCCTACTCAGGAAGCTGAGATCTGAAGATTGTGGTTCAAAGCTAGCCCAGCCAGGAAAGTCCCTGAGAATTTTATGTCCAATTAACCATCAGAAAACAGGAAGTGAAGCTGTGTGGAAGTGGAGCTCAAAATGGTAGAGTGCTAACCTTCGGGGAGGGAAGAGTCAGGGATAGTGCCCAGGCCTTCAGTTCAAGCCACATGATTGACAAAACAAACAAACAAACAAACAACAACGACAACAAAAACCCAGGGGCTGGGACTATGGCTCAGTGGTAGAGTGCTTGCCTAGCATGCATGAAGCCCTGGCTTCAATTTCTCAGTACCACATAAACAGAAAAAGTGAGAAGTGGTGCTATGGCTCATGTGGCAGAATGCTAGCTTTGAGCAAAAGAAGCTCAGAGACAGTGCCCAGGCCCTGAGTTCAAAGCCACAGGACTGGCAAAAAAAAACCCAAAAAAAACAAAAACACTCGCACAGACTTTCCTGTTTGTGCTGGTTTTGAACTGTGATCCTCACATCTCAGCTAGAGTAGTATGAACCACTGGCATCTGCTTTTTTTTGTTTTTTTAAGATAAGGTCTTGCTGGTGCCTGTGGCTCACACTTGTAATTGTAACTACTCAGAAGGCTGAGATCTGAGGAACACAGTTCAAAACCAGCTCAGGTAGGAGTCTGTGAGACTCTTATCTCCAATTAACCACCAGAAAACTGGAAGTGGCACTGTGACTCAAGAGGTAGAGTGCTTACCTTGAGCTGAACAGCTCAGGGACAGCACCCAAGCCCAGAGTTCAAGTCCCATGACTGACCAAAAAAAAAAAAAGACTAGGTCTCATAATACAGAATGAACTTGCCTTTAAGCCTATCTACTCAGGAGGCTGAGATCCGAGGATCACAGTTCAAAGCCAGCCTGAACAGGAAATTCCCTGAGACTCTTTATTTCCAATAGACCACCAGAAAACCGGAAGTTGCGCTGTGGCTCAAGTAGTAAAGCACTCGCCTTGAGCTGAAGAGCTCAGGGGCAGTGCCCAGGCCCTGAGTTCAAATCTTTTCTTCCTGAGTACCAGGATTATTAGGAATGTGTTACTACATCCAGCTAAACTTACATGTTGGGGGGCAGTAATACAATTAAAACTCAGGACCTTGTGCTTGCTAGAGAACCTGCTCTAACTAGTACCTGCCTAGTACTAGTGCTCATGTTGGCTAAGAAGGTTCTCCACCCTTGAATATGAGCCATGCTTCTTTCAACTGATTTTTTACTTTATTTTTGCCAGCCCTGGGGCTTGAACTCAGGGCCTGGGCGCTGTCCCTGAGCTCTTCAGCTCAAGGCTAGCACTCTACCACTTGAGCCACAGCGCCATTTCCAGTTTTCTGGTGTTTAATTTGAGGTAAGAGTCACAGACCTTCCTGCCCAGGCTGGCTTTGAACTGTGATACTCAGATCTCAGCCTCCTGAGTAGGTATGATTATAGGCCTGAGCCACTGGCACCCAGCAGCTCTCTTGAGTAGCTAGAATTACAGGCATAAGCCATCAGAGCCCAGCTCAACGACTTTTGTTGTTGTTGTTGTTGCTTGAGGGGCTTGGACTCTGGGCCTAGGCACTGTCCCTGAGCTCTTCAGCTCAAGGCAAGTGCTTTATTACTTGAACTACAGCGCAACTTCTGGTTTTCTGGTGGTTTATTGGAAATAAAGAGTCTCAGAGACTTTCCTGCTCAGGCTGGCTTTGAACTGCAATCATCAGATCTCAGCCTCCTAAGTAGCTAGGATTACAGGCATGAGCCACCAGTGCGTGGCTACTCAACGATTTTTTGTTGTTATTGTTCTTGGGCACTGTCCCTCAGCTCCTCAGCTCAAGGCTAGCGCTCTACCACTTGAGCCAGAGTGCCACTTCTGGCTTTTTCTGCTTATGTGGTGCTGAGGAAGTGAACCTAGGGCCTCATGCATGTAAGGCAAGCACTCTTCCACTTAGCCACCTTCCCAGCCCTACTCAACAACTTTTAAAGGAACATTTCTAACTAAAATTAGAAGCTTTCCCACAACATTTGAACCAAAGTTTTAATTGTACTGAAACCATTGTCACCTACCACTTGTAGTAAGGACTACAGGTCGTTTAGTGGTTGCCATGAATGTTTTGATTGCATTCAAAAATCCAGCATCTTCATCAAAAATGACATCAACCTACAAAACATTTATTAGAGTATTAATTAATTGAGAAACATGACACTCATTGGAATCAGTTACATATATCATTAGATGTAGAATATATCTATAATACAAAAATTATTAATTTTGAAAAGTAAATTTAGCTCATACTGAAAAGTTTGTCTTATATCATAAAATAATTTTTTAAATAATCAAAATATTAACAGGGTGCTGGTGGCTCCCACCTATAATTCTAGCTACTCGGGAGGCTGAGATCTGAGGATCATGGTTCAAAGCCAGCCCGAAGAGGAGAGACCTGAGACTCTTATCTCCAATAAACCACTAGAAAACCAGAAGTGGCACTGTGGCTCAAGTGGTAGAGTACTCACCTTGAGCTAAAGAGCTCAGGGACAGTGTCCAGGCCCAGAGTTCAAGCCCCATGACCGACCAAAAAAAAAAAAGAAAAAAAATCAAAGTATTCAACAATGACAATAAAAAACCCAGAGCTAGCCGGATGCTGATGGCTCATGCCTACAATCCTAGCTACTCAGGGGATAGATCTGAAGATTCCAGTTTAAAGCCAGCCCAAGCTAGTTCATTGAAGACATTTATCTCCATCAAAAAGCTGGAAGTAGAGCCTAAGGCTCAAGCTAGCCTTGAGCAAAAAGCTCAGGGATGGGGCACATTAATTCCATTAATTAATTCCATTAATCATCTTCCTAAAAATTATTTGAGGGCTGGGAATGTGGCTTAGTGATAGAGTGCTTGCCTACCTAGCATGTATGAAACCCTGGTTTTGATTCCTCATACCATATAAACAGCAAAAGCTGGAAGTGGCACTGTTGCTCAAGTGGTAGAGTGTTAGCCTTGAGCAAAAAGAAGCTCAGGGACAGTGCTCAGGCCCTGAGTTCAAGCCCTAGAACTGGCAGGAAAAAAAATTATTTGACAGTTGATGAAATCAACTTTGATTACAAACAGAATATTTCTGGCTTTTGGGGCATATGTATATCAAATAACCACACACACTCAAACATACTTTTCTAGAATTAAGGATTCAACCTAGGGGCTCTCATTTGCTAGGCAGGTGGTCTACCGCTTGAGGCCCTTTGTTTTTGTTTTGACATAGGCTATCTTATAGTTGAGATTACATTTGTAGCTACAGTGTGTAGCTGAAATTACAGCCATCATACATGGCATATAACCACTATGTGAAAATACACAGTCAACATTACAGTAAATTTTTACCAAGGTATAAGATGAACATATACCTCTGTAAGCCTACCTCCTCAAAAAGAATGAGAGATGTTGCATTTTTTCTGTTGGGTTCTTCAGCTCCAAATTCTTTGATATTTGAATTAGCTTCATTTGTATTTTTGGTGTGAGTAATTTGCTTTTGTTCCAAAGAAGAATGTTTTATTCCTGCACAAATAAAATGTTAACGTTTTAGGAAAATTCATTTTTATTAGAACACTAGACATTTCCACTGAATAAGCTCAAACTGAATTCTCCCTAAGAAAAATCAAATAGAACATTAAAACTCCTACATGCAGAACCTTCAGTTTAACTGAGGTTTAACAAACAGCAATAGGAGCCTATGAAATATGTTCATATTTTTGTATGTAACATCATTAATACTTAAAATATCAAATTTATTTTGCAAACTTAATATTTTACCTTTCTTACTTTCCATAGATGCTCCTCCTTCTTCAGTGCATTTGGGTTTGGAAGAAACTTTAAAATAATTGGCCAAAGTTTTAGGAAGAAGTGCTCGTTTTTGCCCACTATTTTTGGGTGACGATGGAGGATGTTTTCTTGGTGATGATAAAACTCTCTTAGGGGAGTTTAACTTTTCTGTTAAGAAAAAATTGTATTTAAAGGATAAACATTCAAAAAATTAAAGAGAGCAAGATTAAGGTAATCACACACACACACACACAAAAGACCCAAATGAAACTTCTAGAAATGAAGACTACATAGAGGCACTGAAAGCAAATGAGAATTTGTAGAAGAAAAGATCTCTAGCTTGAATAAACAGTACTAACTATTCAAACAAATTTAAAGAGGAAAAGGAAGGCTGAAAAGCTGGGCAAAGCATCAGGAAACTGAGAGAACTTCAAGTTCAAATATCAGAAATTTGGAGTTGCCAAGGATATGGAAAGGGCAGGAAAGGTATTTTAAGAAACAAAAGTTGGTCCTACATATCATTTAAACCCAATTAAATATCTAATCCCTAGAGACTTGCCCTGTTTTCTCCTAGTTTCAGTTGCTCCTTCCTGGTCTCCTACAGTGCCCTTACATGCCCCATACAGCTTTGTCAAGTGGTAGTCTCCATGATCCTGACAGTGGACTGTGGTCTCAAGGTGACAGACTTTGTCTTATTTCCCTTGAGATTCCCCAGTGTCCAGCACAGTGCCAACAATATGAGAGATACCTGACAAAATATTTTAAATAAGTAAGTATATGAATGAGCACAGGTCTCCTAACATTCCCCACTGAGGGGCAGACAGGCAGCTGGCCGGCGGGTACTGCTGGTTGCTTCAGAGCCAGGTCTGGTTCCCAGGCATTCTAACTCCCAGCTCAGGATAATAAGTAATCATTTGGCCTATTCCGCCCAGACTTCATGTCTTTAGGTAATACAGTCATTAAACTAGAATCTTTTGGGCCACTTGGTGACAGATAATTATGCCAAGCACAAAAACCATGTAAAATTCTCTCCTTTAGGCCATGGAGCTGTGACATGGTGAGGTCACAGCCTGGCCTCAGTTATCTCCAAATCTCTTGGTGTTCAGATTTGTATATGGTACAACCCAATGCAATAGTGTCTAGATCAACTATTAAACCATTTATAATGCCCAGGAACCAAATTGTGGTAGCCAGCAATTAGCTCTATTCATGTTTTTAATTGTTCTCCATTTGAAGTTTAATGGATGGTTATTATGATGTAGTCTATACATCATCCAAGACTGCAGGCTGCTTGCTAAAGCAGCTAAAGAAAACTAGACTCTGTGCTGGGAAACTGCACATAACCTAACTGGACTCTGGATTCAGTTCTGAGTCTGCTGTTTTGTTCCACATCTTCTTTCTCCAGGCAGAGAGTCAGGAAGAAAAAGGATTTGGAACATAACCATTCTTCATCCAATCATATGGCACACATTCCATGAAGGACTGCAGACACACAGAAAAAGATGTGGTACCTCCCTTTCTCAAGTTCTGAAAGAGAGATCAAAAGATAGAGGAAGGAAAAAGAGAAAAAGAAAAAGGGAAAGAAAGAGAGAGAGAAAGAAAGAAAGGAAAGAAACATGTATATCTTCTATTTCTGTACATGGCTGCCTGGTTTGTGTTCATAGTCCATAGAATCACTGGGTTAAAACCTCTATGACAAAGGTTATCAATGTCCTCAATGGCCATTTCCAGTGGACTCATCCATACCACAAGATTTATTATATTTTTACTCGGAACCAGACAATTTCTGGGCTATAGGGACATAATGGGGATCAAGATTTCCTTGGAGCTGATGTTTTTGTGGATTTTATTTCAGTCCTTGGGTCTCTGTATTGTTTGCTGATGTTGAACATTACTTTCTGGAAATACATTTGCATTCCATTAAAAATAAAAAAAGAAACAAAAGTTGGCTGAATGTCAGTGGCTCACTCCTGCAATCCTAGCTACACAACAGGCTGAGATGGAATCATGATTTGAAGCCAGCCAGGACAAGAAGGTTCATGAGATTCTCATCTCCAATTAAACCAGAAAAAAGCTGGAAGTGGAGGTGTGGCTCAAGTGATAGAGTGACAGCTTTGAGTGAACAAACTAAAGACAAGTGTGAATCCCTGAGTGTAAGAACAAGCCCATGAGTGTAGGAAAGTCCATGAGACTCTTATCTGGCATACAAAAACAACAAAAAGAAACAAAGCCTGAAAATTTTCAATGCAATGAAAATGATAAATCCATACATTGAAGAATCACAACAAATAAGAAGTAGAAAATACCTACATGAAGAGATCTCATAATCAAAGTGTTTAAAGTCAGTGATAAAAAAAAAAAAATTTAAAGCAAGCTGAGGGCTGGGAAGGTGGCTCAGTGGTAGAGTGCTTGCCTTGCACACATGAGGCCCTGGGTTCGATTCCTCAGCACCACATAAGCAAAAAGAAAAAAGCCGGAAGTGGCACTGGGGCTCAAGTGGTAGAGTGCTAGTCTTGAGCTGAAGAGCTGAGGGACAGCGTCCAGGCCCAGAGTTCAGGCCCACGACCGGACCCAAAAAAAAAAAAAAAGCAAACTGATGCCAGTGGTATTGTCTATAATCCTAGCTACTCTGGAGGTTGATACTTGGAGAGTTCAGCCCAGGAAAAAAAGAGTCTGCAAGATTCTATCTCCAATTAACTAGCAAAAGGCTGGGCTATAGACTACCAGCCCAGGGCAAGAAGGCAACAATGAATAAATACAAAGTATCAAAATCCATTAAATAAACCAGGCTGGTGGCTCACGCCTGTAATCCTAGCTACTCAGGAGGTTGAGATCTGAGGATCAGGGTTCAAAGCCAGCCTGGGCAGAAAGGCCGTGAGACTCTTATCTCCAATAAACCATTAGAAAACCAGAAGTGGCACTGTGGTTCAAGCAGTAGAGTGCTTGCCTTGAGCTGAAGAGCTCAGGGACAGCACCCATGCCCAGAATTCAAGCCCCACAACTGACAAAAAAAAAAAAATACATTAAATAAATACAAATCCATGAATTCATAATAACATTAAGAAAATATGAAACTACAAAAAAAGCTCATGGTCAACATTGGAGGCTGCTATTACAGCTTTAATTTAAGAACTAAAAAAAGAAAAGTTGGGTGCTGGTGGTTCACTAGCCTATAATTCTAGTTATTTAGGAAGCTGACATCAGAGCATTGCAATTCAAAGCCAGCCTGGGCAGGAAAAGTCCATGAGACTCTTATCTCCAAATAATCACCAAAAAGCCAGAAGTGGAGCTACGGCTCAAGTGCTACAGCACTGAAACTCAGGGAAAGAGCCCAGGCCCAGAGTTCAAGCCACAGGATTGGCACAAAAGAAAAAAAAGAAATTTATTTCCAGAAATACATTTTCCATGGGGGAAATAAAACCAGCAACCCTATGACAAAGTAAATAGGACTTCAGAAACAAAGGATTTCCACTCATTTTGTTATATCATTGCTAAATGACCACATATATGGCATATATGTGTGTGCAACTGAGGGAAGCTAGGATAGGAGGACACAGAATCAGAGGGAAATGGGAAAACATACAACAGAAGGGCCCATCAGCTGCACTGGACATAGATGAAAATGAACTAAGCAACTCAAAGGAAGCAATGGGAGGGAGGAAATCAGAGGGAAAGAGGGAACAGTTTATACTAAGCAAAAGAAAAGAAATATACTTTTTATCACCTCATGTGGAAGAAATAGTTGCAGTGTCAAAGGTCATAGAATTCACAAACTTTAGCCAGCGCCTGTGGCTCATGCCTGTAATCCTAGCTACTCAGGAGGCTGAGATCTGAGGATCACAGTTCAAAGCCAGACTGGGAAGGAATGTGCGAGAAACCCTTATCTCCAATACACCACTCAGAAAACCGGAAATGGCACTCTGGCTCAGGTGGTAGAGTGCTAGCCTTGAGCTGAAGAGCTCAGGGACAGTGCCCAGAACCAGAGTTCAAGACCCACGACTGACCAAAAAAAAAAAAAAAAAGAATTCACAAATTTTATAGACCATGATAAAGATAATTGTGAAGGTTAAAATGTATTTGTGACTTTAAGTATCACTCACTATTCTACAATACTATGAAATATGTGAAATTTATGTAATCATCTAATCCCAATAAAAACATTTAGAAAAAAACAAACCTGCAACCCCATGATGTAAAAGCCTTGGGGAAAACAAGAATTAGAATATTAAACATGATATCTTGCCCATGTAATTGTAACCCCTCTGTACAGTATTTTCACAATAAAAAAAAAGAATATTAAACATGAGGCAATAGTTGGTAAAGAATAGTGCTTCTCAGAATTCCAACTAATAGGAAGTGGCACTGTGGCTCTAGTGGTAGAGCGCTCGCCTTGAGCTGAAGAGCTGAGGGACAGCGCCCAGGCCCAGAGTTCAAGTCCAACGAGCAACAACAACAACAAAAAAAGAATTCCAACTAATAAATACCAAAAGACCAAAAGAATTATAAAATTATTATTTTAAATCCCTAATGAGCCAAGTACTAGTGGCTCAAGCCTAGTTTGTAATCCTAGCTACTCAGGAAACTGAGATCTGAATATCATGGTTCAAATCCAGTCTAAGCAGGAAAAGTCTACTAGACTCTTATCTCAAAAACCAAAAGTGAGGGGCTGGGAAGGTGGCTAATTGGTAGAGTGCTTGCCTTGTATTCATGAGGCTCTGGGTTCGATTCCTCAGCAACAAATAAGCAGAAAAAGCCAGAAGTGGCGCTGTGGCTCAAATGGTAGAGCGCTAGCCTTGTGCTGAAGAGCTGAGGGACAGTGCCCAGCCCAGAGTTCAGGCTCCACAAGCAAAAAAAAAAACAAAAAAAACCCAGAAGTGAAACTGGGCTCAAAGTGGTGAAGCTCTAGCCTTGAGCAAGTGCTCAAAGACATCACTTAGGCCCTGAGTTCAAACCCATGGCTGACAAAAAGAAAAAAAAACCCTAATGAGTCCGTTGTGAAGTATCATTAATAATACAATGACTGGGAAAACTTTGTAAGTAATGGGTTTGAGGACAAGGGAATGATTCAAATGGTAAAGTGCCTGCCACCAAGTGTGTGGCTCAGAGTTCAATGTCCAGTACTTACTTGGTGACTTGCCAGTGTGGTAGCTATTAAAAAAACAGGGCTTCTGTGAATTTACACCTTGCTTGTCTACTTGATGGGACTGAGTAGCTTCTTTCAACTGAGACAGAATTTGTCGACCACTGCGCTGGGAAGAGGCATTCACTTCAAATATCTGAAAGAAGAATAGATGCAAAATAGAATGGCTTATGTTTCCTTTTTGTTTCTCAGGCAGGAATTTTCTATGTAGCACAAGGTAGCCTCAAACTTGAGATCTTCCTGCCTCACATTCTTGCATGATGAGATTTTAAGCATGTTCCACTACAAATGCTGGGGGTTTTATTTAAGAGTAATCATTGAGAATGATGGAAGGGATGACATTGATCAAAACATATTTACTCATAATCTGACTTGAAACCCTTTTGTGCAACTACTTAAAATTTTTATTTTATTTTATTTATTATTAGTTTTTTGGGGGGTCTGGTTGTGGGGCCTGAACTCTGGGCCTGGGCGCTGTCCCTCAGCTCTTCAGCTCAAGGCTAGCACCTTGAGCCACAGTGCCACTTCTGGCTTTTTTTTTTTTTTTTTTGCTTATGTGGTGCTGAGGAATCAAACCCAGGGCCTCATGCATGCAAGGCAAGCACTCAACCACTGAGCCACCTTCCCAGCCCAGTGATTTAAAATTTTTATAGAAGAGTAATCATTACATTAGCATTTTTCCATTGCAGCTCTACTAACCTTAAATCCAAGCTCCTGAGCACAAGCATACACTGCAGCAGTTTTTCCTACTCCTGTTGGTCCTGTTATGAGAACAGTATTGCAAAGACGGCTCTCTTCTTCATCTGAACTGCTGTAAAGGTCTATCCTATCTGAAAAATCTGAAAAGTTGTTTAAATGCATAGAAAATTATTAGATGCTCACGAAAGTCATTCTACCTCATGAAACTCAGGGATCAAATATCACAATTGTCTTGATTTTATTTTTGCCAAAGAATGGAGAAAAACTAATTTACAAAAAGTAGATCCAGTACAAAATGCCAACCTAGAAATGTTAGAACACTATGACTTAATTTGACTCTAGAAAAGTTCAGTGAAATGAGCAAAGATGACTCAAATACCTTCCAGCTTCTCGTCTCGTTTTCCCTTCAAATTCTGTCTTTCTTCCAATTCGGCTCTCCTTTTCCAGTCTTTCAACCAACTGCCATACAGACATCATTTACCTTATGTTAAAAGGATTGCTGAGGAAATTATGCCCTATTACTCCATAATGCTTCTAAATCAACAGTAAAATATTTTTACATGGGCATGAATGTTTTAAAATGAAGTACTTTTCTCTTAAATATACAAGACTACAGGGTACTCAGTGTATCACTGGTTATATTCTTAAGAAAAAGCAGGGAGCCAGTGGTTCACTCCTAGCTACTCAGGAAACGGAGAGCAGAGGACCAAGGTTCAAAGCCAGCCCAGGGAGGAAAGTCTGTGAGAGGCTTATCTTCAATTAACCACCAGCCAAACGGAGTTGTGGTAAAGCACCAGCTCTGAGAGAAAAAACTAAGGGTCAGTGCTTAGCCCTTGAGTTCAAGCCACTGAACTGATACCAAAAAGAAAAGGAAAAAACATACACACAATTTTTCCTGGAAAGGTATATAATAAAGTCTCAATAGAAACTCTAGGGAGTAGAAATGTGAGAAAGGAGGGAGAATAATGGCGGTCTGAGTCTAATCAAGATCCATTGCATGCATATATGGACATGTCAGAATTAAACTCTCATTAATGCCAATTCAAAATGAGGGGAGGGGTAAAGAATGAAAATAAAATGAGTGTCATGGGCTGGGAAGGTGGCTCAGTGGTGGAGCACTTGCCTTGCATTCATGAGGCCGGTTTGATTCCTCAGCACCACATAAGCAAAAAGAAAAAAAGCCGGAAGTGGTGCTGTGGCTCAAGTGGTAGAGTGCTAGCCTTGAGCTGAAGAGCTGAGGGACAGCGCCCAGGCCCAGAGTTCAGGCCCCACGACCAGACCAAAATAAATAAATAAATAAATAAAATAAAATGAGTGTCATTCAACAACAAAAGAAATATAAAAAAAGAGACTTTTTACTTAAAATTCTGTTTATAACTATTTTCCCATGAAGTATATAACTCTATAATAAATTCTAATATTTTTCAAAAATTGTACTAACCTATGTAATTTTTTTATAGCTAAGTCATTGCCTATGAGTTCACTGGCATTCTGAGGTTGATATTTTTCTGTCCAGAGCATGTCTTCAATTCCAGAATCTAAAGAAAAAACATAAGTAAAAATTAAGGTATTATATATTCCTTGAAGTATACATTTTTAAATGATTTTACTACTTACTAAAGAATTGTAGAATTATTTATTTATAAAAGGCTGTTTTTATATATTGGTGGCTCATGCCTATAATCCTAACTACTCAGGAGTAGCAGGATCATGGTTTGAAGCCAGCCTGGAGTGAGACTACATCTCAAGTTAACCAGTAAAAAGCCAGTCTGGAGGTAGAGAGAGAGCAAAAACAAGAGTTCAAGTATAAGAACGAGAAAAATCTAGTTTACCAGAATGGAGGATACTTTTGCTGCAGACCTGTTAACATCTATTATCAGAACGAAATTATCTCCTACTGCTTCTGCCTTCAACTTTACATGTGCTCAAAGCAGTTTGTTTCTTCTGAAATGTTTTTTGTTTTTTTTTTTTTTTCGGGGGGGAGTCTGGTCATGGGGCCTGAACTCTGGGCCTGGGCGCTGTCCCTCAGCTCTTCAGCTCAAGGCTAGCACTCTACCACTTGAGCCACAGCACCACTTCTGGCTTTTTTTCTTTTTGCTTATGTGGTGCTAAGGAACCGAACCCAGGGACTCAGGCATACAAGGCAAAAGCACTCTACCACTGAGCCACCTTCCCAGCCCTTTTCTGCAATGTTATAGAAAATATACCTTTGGAGGAATCTGGCTTTATCCCAGAAGAGATATTTCTTTTGTCAAGATCTTCTGACTTCCCCTTTATTTTTTCTGGAATTACTGAATATTCATTTGGCTTTTTTCTTTTTGACTTCTGATTTCCTGTTTCCACTCGTTTCCTTTTGGTTTCTTTATGACTAACATCAGGCTCAAATTGTGGACTTTCTATTTGGAAATTATACAAATCCGCATACTTATTAATTTATCAAAGCAAGCTATAATATTCAATAATCTTTATATTACTTCCAAAAATTCCAGTCTCAAGACATTAAGATAAAATGACTCAAATACAACACACTGAAAGTAAGATGGAGGACTTATTATTTAGACTGCCTTTTATAAAAGCTATGTAGGTAAAAATTACCTCATCTAAGGCTTTCCTTAAGTGATTCATATTTTACAGTAATTGAAGCTATCACTGGGTTCACCTTTCTAAAAGCTGACAGTGCTGACATTCCATTACAGGAGACTCTTTCCTTTAGCTAAATAACTCTTGTTTTGTCTCTGTGAACCACTTTTCTGTGTATGCCAGTACTGGGGTTGAACTCAGAGCCTTGTGCTTTCTTTTAGTTTTTTCACTCAAGACTGCCAACTCCACCACTTGAGCCACATCTCCACTTTGGGATTTTTCTGTAGGTTAATTTTAGATACGTTTCTTGATTTGTTTGCCTGGGCAAGGTTTTGAACCTTGATCCTCAGGTCTCAGCCTCCTAAGTATCTAGGATTACAGGTGTGAACCACTAGTTCCTGGCTATCTGTGGACTATTTCTGTGTCAAAAGCTAAGTCAAAGGCTTCCTGTTTCTTTTCAAACCTGAAGTATTAACATAGATGGTAAAGATTATCACTAACCTTGGTTGCCAGGGACCTCAGAAAGCACCTGGTACTCAATTCGTTTTTGGAGAAGCAATGGAAAATATTTTCCAAAAGCAAAGTTAGGATTGGACCATCTCATTTCTTCCAGCAAAAGATTTCTTACATCTTTAGTAAAATCCTTCCTTGTCCTTGTAAACTGCAATGAAGAATAAGATGAACAATAACAGATCCATCCCATCTATTTAATAATCACAAAACCTCCAAACATTCTGTCCACAAGAAATTAGTATCATTGTAGGATTAGTTGTAGTCACTAAACACAACACTGCATTAATGCAGCATATGAAGTACTTACTTTTGTATTTTACTTTCTCTCTTGAGTAATACTTTATACCTTTATTAAACTATAATGCTGATCTACAAAATATCTAGACTGGTGTATAATATTTAATATTTTTTCTCAAGATTGGTAATGAGGTTTTGTTTCTTTTTTTTTCTGTTATTGTTATTTTGCTATATAGCTCAGGGTGGCTTTGAAATTTTCCTGTGTTAGCCACTCAAGTTTTGGGAAGTGCGCACAATAACATCTAGCTGTACTATTAATTTTTCTTTCTATTTTTTGTGTGTGTGTGTGTGTGTGTGTGTGTGCTGGTCCTGGGACTTGAACGCAGAGCCTGGACACTTCCATAAGCTTTTTCATTCTAGGTTAGCACTCTATACTTGAACCACACACCTCCACTTCTGGCATTTCTAGTGGTTTATTAGAGATAAGACCCTCATGGACTTTCTTGCCCAGGCTGGTTTTGAATCATAATCCTCAGATCTCAGCCTCCTGAGTAGTTAGGATCACAGGTAGAAGTCACCAGTGCCTGGCCCTTTTGTTAATTTTTAGTTTTTGATTTTTTTTTTGGTCTGCCCTGGGGCCTGAACTCTGGGCCTGGGTGCTGTCCATGAGCTCTTCAGCTCAAGGCTAGCACTCTACCACTTGAGCCACAGCACCTCTTCCGGCTTTTTCTGCTTATGTGGTGCTGAGGAATGGAACCCAGGGCCTCCTGCATGCAAGGCAAGCACTCTACCACTGAGCCACCTTCCCAGCCCCCTTTTTGTTAATTTTTAAAACTTTGTTGATTACCCAAAAGATGTGTACTTCATTTGGATTGTTAAACATTATACTTCAGGATGGTAAGAGACAAAAGTAGACATGCAATCTTTGCTCCTCTGGGATTTGTGAAAGAAGCACCCTACAATGGATGAGCTTTCTAGTACTTACCAAGACAGCAGAATTACTTTTCAGATTTGAATTCAATGTTGAAAATTCACCCAGAGCAATGACACATTTTGAAAGATCTATTATGTTAGAACTCAGTTCTCTAAGTTTGGTTAACAGAGGACAACAGGGTGCTTTCAAATGCCATAACCAATACCCTAAAGGAAAAGAGAAAAGGTATCATAACTAATGTTTATACACTGTACATGTTACTGTGCAACAAGGATGCAAACATAAAAACATTTGACAAAGCCAGGCACTGGTGGCTCACACCTGTAATCCTAGCTACTCAGGAGTCTGAGATCTGAGGATCAAGGTTGAAACCAGATCAAGCTGGAAAACCCATGAGACTCTAATCTTCAATTAACTACCAGAAAACTGGATCAAAGTAGTAGAACACTAGCCTTTAGCAAAAAAACCCAGGGACAGTGCCCAGGCTCCAAGTTCTAGCCCCATGATTAACAATCAATCAATTAATTAATCAATCAATCAAATTAACAACAACAACAAAACAGTGTTGGAAATCAAAACTAGACTCCATGCATGCTAGACAACAGCTTTATGTTTGAGCTACACACCCAACCTTTGAGAAAGTCTTCAAGATGATCTGTACATACATGGGCTCTGATTTTAGAAAGGAACTACCTTTCTTTTAGAACATCGCTCTAGAGAACAATGCTCACTCAGTACCCCTCACATTAGGGCTATAAGGGTAACATAAGGAAGGAGGCAAAGATCTTCCTTTTGCTTCTTTCCTAACCTACAATTCCCTACCCTTAGTAATCTGAGTCCAAAGATGAGGAAGAGAGGATAAAATATATATCTCAAATTACTACTAACGTAACCCTAAGACTGCTATGAGATCAGAAAATCAAGTTGCTTTTATTTTTGCCAGTCCTGGGGCTTGGACTCTGGGCCTGGGCACTGACTCTGAGCTTCTTTTGCTCAAGGCTAGCACTCTACAACTTGAGCCACAGCGCCACTTCTGGCTTTTTCTGTGTATGTGGTACTGAGGACTCAAACCCAGGGCTTCATGCATGCTAGGTATGCACTTTACCACTAAGCCACAATCCCAGTCTAAGCTACTTTTTCTTTTTTGGAATGGGTCTCACTATATAGCCCTGCTTGGCCTTGAACAACAGATCCTCCTGTCTACCTTCTCAAGTGTTGAGATCGTAGATGTGCTTCACTATGACTGGCCCTGAGTCTCATTTTTTTTTCCGTCATCATTTTTTCTTTAAGCAACTACATTAAATGGTTACTTATTACTTCTAACAATTGAAGTATTTGATCATAATAAACTTACCATCATCTTTTTGCTGAACATGAACAACTCTCTGGAAACTGGCACTTACTGAATTGTAAACATCTAGTGCAGCAGCTTTCTTTGCAATTTGTCGTTTCAAAGAGTCAGGCAAGCCACTCATGAGAAACTCACGCTTTGCTTTAAACTGTACATCACAATCCTGTGATTTTTCAGATGAATCTTGACTTTTAAGAAAATGATTTTAGAAAAAAAAGCTGATTATTTTAACACTTGAAAGAACAAAGTACCTAGAAAATAAAATATTTTTACATTGAATTTAAAAGTTAACTGCTGGGAAGATGCCTTGCATGCATGAGGCCCTGGGTTCAATTCTTCAGTATCACATAAGCAGAAAAAGCCGGAGTGGCACTGTGGCTCAAGTGGTAAAGCACTAGCCTTGAGCTGAAGGGCTGAGTAACAGTGCCCAGGCCCAAAGTTCAAGCCCCACAACCGACCAAAAAAAAAAATTAACCTAAGATATTGGCTGATGAAATTATTTTTTGGTTATCACAAAAGCAAAGGTCTACTCATGTTACAAAACTAAATAAAACAAGTATGTAGAGAAAAAAAATTACTTAAAGGACATCTACCAAAGGACATCTTCCACTATCTTTTAGATGGAAGTGAGTTTTCTTCTTTTATTTGTGGAATGCTAGGTAACAGAAACCAGGACCTCAGAATGCGAGGCAAATATCCTGCCACTGCCAGTTGCTGGTGGCTCATGCCTGTAATCCTAGCTCCTCAGGAGGCTGAGATCTGAGGATCCCGGTTCAAAGCCAGCCTGGGGAAAGAAAGTCCTTGAGACTCTTATCTCCAATAAACCACTTGAAAACTGGAAGTGGCACTGTGGCTCAAGCGGTAGAGTGCTTGCCTTGAGCTTAAGAGCACAGGAACAGCGCCCAAGCCCAGAGTTCAAGCCCACCACCGACAAAACAAAACAAAACAAATCCTACCACTAAGCTTTATCCTCCATACTAGAAGGGCTTTTTTTATTGTTAAATATTCATTTATCTTATATTCAGAAAGAGTACCAGCTTTCAAAAAATGACTATAATAGCTGAAGATGGAGCTCACTGCAGGGTGTTTACCTAGCATGGTAAGGAGCTGGGTTCAACTCCATCAGTGCAAAACAAAACAAAATCTACACACATAACAAACAAAAATAATTTTATAGAGGAAAGGAAAGGCAACGATGACATTGTCCAAAAATAAAAAGCACTCATTATCCAACTTATGAAATGCTTTTCTGTAACAACACCTTAATAATAACAATACAATTATTTTTAGAAAAATAAGTTGCTGGAGATGTCACAGAAGTAGTGGAATACCTGCCCAGCAAGCCCAGGGCTTTGAGTTCAAACTCAAGTACTGTTTATGATCACTAGGTAGTAAGAAACGAATTATTATTTATGTCTATTTTACTTGGCTTATCTTAAAACTTTCTACTTGTTTTCTTTTCCTATTTGAGTGAAATGAGGAGAAGATGAGTCTAGAAGCCAGATTAGAGGAATTAGCCTTAGAAAAGAGGTATGAGGGGCTGGGAAGGTGGCTCAGTGGTAGAGTGCTTGCCTTGCATGCATGAGGCCCTGGGTTCGATTCCTCAGCACCACATAAGCAGAAAAAGCTAAGTGCTGCTGTGGCTCAAGTGGTGGAGCACTAGCCTTGAGCTGAAGAGCTGAGGGACAGCGCCCAGGCCCAGAGTTCAGGCCCCACGACTGGACCCAAAAAAAAAAACCAAAACAAAAAAGAGATATGATGCCAGGTACAGGTGGCTCATGCCTGTAATCCTAGCTACTCAAGAGACTGAGATCTGAGGATTGCGATTCAAAGCCAGCCTAGGCAGGAAAGTCCATGAGACCTATTTTTTTCATGTCAGTCATGGGGCTTGAACTTTGGGCCTGGGCGCTGTCCCTCAGCTCTTCAGCTCAAGCAAGTGCTCTACCACTTGAGCCACAGCGCCACTTCCAGTTTTCTGGTAGTTAAATGGAGATAATAGTTTCACCGACTTTCCTGCCCAGGCTGGCTTTGAACCAAGATCTTCAGATCTCAGCCTCCTGAGTAGCTAGGATGATGGGCATGAGCCAATGGCACCCAAGTTCCATGAACTCATCTCCAATTAACCACCAGAAAACCAGAAGTGGTGCTGTGGCTCAAAGTGGAAGAGTACTAGCCTTGGGCTAAAGAGCTCAGGGACAGTGTCCAGGTCCAGAGTTCATGCCCCACAACTAACCAAAAAAAAAAAAGAAAGAATTTTTTCCATTATTAATAGGAAGGAAGAAGGAAGATTGGCAAAGGTATAGTTAAACTAAAGCAAAAGGTAGACTACAAGAGGAATATAAGGGGCTGGGAAGGTGGCTCAGTGGTAGAGCGCTTGCCTTGCATACATGAGACCCTGGGTTCGATTCCTCAGCACCACATAAGCAAAAAGAAAAAAAGCCAGAAGTGGTGCTGTGGCTCAAGTGGTAGAGCACTAGCCTTGAGCTAAAGAGCTGAGAAACAGGCCCAGGCCCAGAGTTCAGGCCCCACAACTGGACCCCCCCCACAAAAAAAATAGAGTCTGAGATCTGAGGATTGCAGTTCAAAGCCAGTCTAGGATGAAAAATCTCTGAGAAACTCTTATCTCCAATTAAACTACCAGAAAACTGTAAGTGGAGCTGGCTCAAAGTGGTAGATCCCTAGCCTTGAGCAAAAGAGATCAGGGACAGTGCCTAGGTCCTGAGTTCAAGCCCCACAAGGGACCAAAAAAAAAAAAAAAACTCAAACAATCAAAATAACTGAGCCATGAAGATGATAAACCTAGTCTTCTTCCAGCATGCTCCAGTTGCATATACTAGAACATGGTTCATCCTTACTCTTACCCAGTCCTATACCCAAACCTAATTAATAATGAAAAGGTTTCAAATTTATTTCCTCATATCTTTTCATAAATCATTTTTAACATCTTATCTCTTACCTGGGTCATATCAGACCTGTCCTCCCTACATCATTGAGGACTCCTACTCTTCCTTTAGTTTCAATTCAGGTACCATTTCTTTAGCAAAGTCCTCCTTCACCAGATGAAATCTCCTTTTATATAATCCGTAATAGAGCTTTTTTTTTTTTTGGGGGGGGTCCGGTTGTGGGGCCTGAACTCTGGGCTTGGACTCTGTCCCTCAGCTCTTCAGCTCAAGGCTAGCGCTCTACCACTTGAGCCACAACACCACTTCTGGCTTTTTTTCTTTTTGCTTATGTGGTGCTGGGGAATTGAACCCAGGGCCTCATGCATGCAAGACAAGCGCTCTACCACTGAGCCACCCTCCCAGCCCCCCTAATAGAACTTTGTACCTCTCCTTAGCACAATGCCAATTTTTCATTTGTTGCCCTAATTAGTGTTTAATTATAGACTTTCTGCCCTCAAGATTATAAACATCATAATGACAGGGAATGTGTCCTAATACTATATCTTTGGTAACAAAACCAGTACACGGTACATATTAGGAACATACTATTGGATGAAGTTGGTAAATGAAGTTGTATATTTTTGGTTTGATTTTTGATTATTGTATTAATTTATATAGAGACAGTTCCAACATACTTACAAAAATATCAAGACTCAGTAGCACTATCAAATACTATCTCTGAAAATGAACTTAAAGCTTCAGATGCCATTCATATGTTTTCTTGTTTGTTTTTTTTTGGGTCCGGTCGTGGGGCCTGAACTCTGGGCCTGGGCACTATCCCTCAGCTCTTCAGCTCAAGGCTAGCGCTCTACCACCTGAGCCACAGCACCACTTCCGGCTTTTTTCTTTTTGTTTATGTGGTGCTGAGGAAACGAACCCAGGGCCTCGAGCATGCAAGGCAAGCGCTCTACCACTGAGCCACCTTCCCAGCCCCTCATATGTTTTCTTTTTGTTGTTGGTGGTGGTTGTGGGTCTTGAACTCTGGACCTGAGTGCTGTCCCTCTGCTCTTCAAGGCTAGTGCTCTACCACTTAAGCCACAGCACCACTTCTGGTTTCTGGTGGTTAACTGGAGATAATAGTCTCTTGGACATTTTTGTTTGGGCTGGCTTTGAGTCATAATCCTTAGACCTCAGCCACCTAGGTAGCTAGGATTACAAGGGTAAGCCACCAGTGCCTGGCTTTTATATGCTTTTTTTTTTTTTTTGTCGGTTGTGGGTCTTGAACTGTGGGCCTTGGGGCTGGCCCTCAGCTCTGCAGCTCAAGGTGAGCACTCTATCACTTGAGCCACAGTGCCACTTCTGGTCTTCTGGTGGTTAATTGAAGATAAGAGTATCACAGACTTTCCTGTCTGGGCTGGCTTTGAACCGTGATCCTCAGATCACAGCCTCCTGAATAGCTAGGATTACAGGCATGAGCACCACCACCTGACTTCATATGCTTTCTTATCAGACCAAATAAATAAATACAAGGTGTCAAAATTTTGTATTGGACTGACCTGCTCTCATCAAAACCAAGGACAGGATTGGCTGTTTTTTGAGTCTTTCTGGCAAGAAATAAAGGAGCAACTTTCATTTTTCCTTAGAGAAAAAAAAAAATCAGGTTAGTATTAATGATTGCATTGTATTTCAGCTACTTTCAAAATTATATCTTTTAAACTTTGGTGTGTGCCAGTCCTAAGTCTTGAACTCAGGACCCAGCCATTGTCCCTGAGCTTCTTTATTCAAGGCTAGCTACCATTTGAGCCACAACTCTACTTCTGGCTTTTTTCATGGTTGGCTTTGAACCACGATTCTTAGATCTCAGCCACTAGCATCACTAGGATCACAGACATTGACCACAAGAACCCGGCTTCTTTTTAAGTTTTAAATTTAATTTTTAAAAATCTGATCAAGATGCATTACATATAAATTGACATGTTAAACTGAAAAAAGCAAAGTTTGTTTTACTGAGCTCTGGGTGCTGATGGGTGCTCTTGCCTGTACTCCTAGCTACTAATGAGGCTGAGACTTGAAGGATCATGATATGAAGCTAGACTGGGCATAAAAGTCCATGAAACTCCACCTCCAAATAACCAGCAATACACCTGGCTCAAGTGGTAGAGGGACAACAAGCAAGACAAGAAGCAAGCAAGTGATGCGCTGAGTTCAAGCCCCATTACTGGCACCAAACACAAAAACTGAACTTTTTTTTTTAAATATAAAAATTCTACATAATATCTTCCCTTAACTTAGTACTATCAAAACAGGGGAGCTTTCTTTTTGCTTTTGTTTTTGGGTTATGGCGGTACTGAGGATTGAACTCATGCTTTGCTCTAGTTGACCCAGGGCTCCAAATCCTTTGTGTATTGGTTATTTTCCAGGTAAGGTCTAACTTTGTGCCTGGGCCATCCAGTGATCTTCCCAGTGTTACTGGGGATGACAGGATGCACCCTGCTGGGAAAATGGGTGCTAATAGCTGCAGGCAAAGCTTAGCCATTGGTTGAGATGGAGTCTCAAGAATTTTATACCAATGGGCTGGGAAGGTGGCTCAGTGGTAGAACACTTGCCTTGCATGCATGAGGCCCTGGGTTCGATTCCTCAGCACCACATAAGCAAAAAGAAAAAAGCCAGGAGTGGCACTGTGGCTCAAGTGGTAGAGCGCTAGCCTTGATGCCCAGCCATTGGTTGAGATGGAGTCTCAAGAATTTTATACCAAAGCTGGCCTCAAAGTACAATCCTCCCATAAAAAAAAAAAAAGTATAATCCTCCCATCTCCACCTCCCAAGTAGCTAGATTACATGCTTGAGCCAATATGCTGGGATAAACTTTTATTTTCCATTATAGATTTCCATAACCTACCTCAAGTTTCTTGGTTAATATGTCTAGGCAAAGACCTAAAGACTTCCTCAAAGTTTTATTGGCTGGACATCAATGGTTCATGCCTGTATTCCTAGCTACTCAGGAGGCTGAGATCTAAGCCAACCTAGGCAGGAAAATCCATGAAACACTTATTTCCAATTAATCACCAAAATGTCAGGAGTGGAGATGGGGTCAAGTGGTAGAGCATAAGCCTTGAGTGGAAAAAGCTAAGGGACAGGATTCAGGCCCTGAATGCTGAAACAAAAATAAGTTTTATTGTACCCAGATAATTTAAATGCATAGTCAAGTTTGGGAACTACAAACCTAAGACTAGAGAAACAGAAACACCATAAATTAAAATTAACTTCAGTGCTCAAAAACAAAATGTCTAACTTCTGGGGCTGGGAAGGTGGCTCAGTGGTAGAGTGCTTGCCTTGCACGCATGAGGCCCTGGGTTCCATTCCTCAGCACCACATAAGAAAAAAGAAAAAAAAAGCCGGAAGTGGCACTGTGGCTCAAGTGGTAGAGCACCCGCCTTGAGCTGAAGAGCTGAGGGACAGTGCCCAGGCCCAGAGTTCAGGCCCCATGACCGGACCTACCCCCCCAAAAAAATGTCTAACTTCTCTTTAAAATACTACTCAGATTGGGGCTGGGAAGGTGGCTCAGTGGTAGAGCGCTTGCCTTGCATACATGAGGCCCTGGGTTCGATTCCTCAGCACCACATAAGCAAAAAGAAAAAAGCCAGGAGTGGCACTGTGGCTCAACTGGTAGAGCTCTAGCCTTGAGCTGAAGAGCTGAGGGACAGCACCCAGGCCCAGAGTTCAGGCCCCATGACCGGACCCAAAAAAACCCAAAACTGCTCAGAAATTAATTTTTTAAAATGTAAAAATAAAATATTCCTCAGTTCATCAGAAATTTAGTTGTTAAAATGGAAATAATACAACCAAAATTTCACAAGACAAGAAATTAAATATCTATTATGAGAGCATTCAGAAAAATTCCCCCAAAACATTATTGTATAAACAGTATTAAATCTGATTACCAGGTACATTTTCAGAAGACTTGTTAAGCTTTTTTCCTAGCACATCATTCAAACACTGAAGTTTCTTCTGATTTTTCTCTGGCTTTTTTAAACAAGTGGGACTTGAATCTATCAGTATTACAGAGTCCTAAGACCAAAAAAAAAAAAAGAAAGAAAAATTAATACAGTGTTCCCCTTTATCTAGACCATACATCCAGTAACCCCAGCGAATGCCTTTCCGATAATTTCAAATACTGTATGTACTAGGTCTTTTCATATATATACTTACCTTACCATACATTGCAGCTTTAGTTATGACATTAAAACTAGGATGTCTTATTCCTTCTTACCATAATTCTTAGCAACTTCAGCATATAACTTTTTTTCATTCCTTATTAAGTCAGGATTTTACCTTTTCACTAAAGGAATTATTTTATGACTTCTCTTGGGAATGTGGCTTAGTGGTAGAGTGCTTGCCTTGCATGCATACATGAAGCCCTGGGTTCAATTCCTCAGGACCACATAGACAGAAAAAGCAGGAAGTTGTGCTGTGATTTAAGTGGTAGAGTGCTAGCCTTAAGCCAAAGCTAAGGGACAGTGCCCAGGCCCACAGTGCAAGCCCCAGGACTGGCAAAAAAAAAAAAGTCAGCATTGCTTTGAGGAAAACGGAAGAGCTAGTTCAGCTTACAAATGATTCTGAGGGGCTTGAGAAAGGTTCAGACTCTCTTTTGAGATCAAAAGGAAGTCAAAGGCTTTTAAAGCAAAACTAGAAGTAGTATTTTTTTCTACCACCTGAAGGCTATCATACTTTTTCCCATTCCCAAAAGCAAACTAGGACAGAATTTACCCAAAGAGATGCTTTATAATACTCACATCTGATTCCGGTGATTTTTCCTTTTCCAGATGTCTAGAGGAACGCCTTAAGGGTGTCACGATTTCTTCAGTAGTCTTTGACCTACTGATATGTAAAGCTTTTGCCTTTTCAATCAATTGTTTTGCTTTTGATATATTTGAAGTACTGCTTACCTAGATAAAAATTTGAACTGTTAATCTAGATCACAGCAAATATTGATTATTTATTTATTTTTATTTTATTTTTTTTGCTGGTGCTGGGGCTTGAACTCTGGGCCTGGGCACTATTCCTGAGTTCCTTTTGCTCAAGGTTAGTATTCTATCACATGAGTCACAGCACCACTACTGGCTTTTTCTGTGCCTAGTTAGAAATAAGAGTCTCAGGTCTAGGAAGGTGACTCAGTGGTAGAGTGCTTGCCTAGCATGCATGAATACCTGGGTTCCATTTCTCAGATAACACACACACATAAAGAGCCAGAAGTGGGGCTGTGGCTCAGATAGTAGAGTGCTATCCTTGAGCAAAAGAAGCTCAGGGACAGTGCCCAGGCCCTGAATTCAAGCCCCAAGACTGACAAAAAAAGAAAAAGAAACAAGAGTCTCATAGACTTCGGCTAGTTTTGAACCATGATACTCAGATCTCAGCCTCTTGAGTAACTAGAATTACAGGCATGAACCATCAAAGCCCAGCTAATATTTCATATTCAATACAAAGAAATAAAAATAGAAAAAATATATTTGCAGTCATACAAAGAAATAAGAATTCCATGCCGGGCGCTGGTGGCTCACGCCTGTAATCCTAGCTACTCAGGAGGCTGAGATCTGAGGATCGCGGTTCAAAGCCAGCCCGGGCAGGAAAGACTATGAGACTCTTATCTCCAATAAACCATTCAGAAAACTGGAAGTGGTGCTGTGGCTCAAGTGGTAGAGTACTCGCCTTGAGCTGAAGAGCTGAGGGACAGGATTCAGGCTCAGAATTCAAGCTCCATGACCGACAAAAATAAAATAAAATAATATATATATATATAATTATTATTCTCTGCTTGCTTTATATCAGGTGAGGTAACAGAAAGACACCAGCCCATTGCAAGTCAGGAAAATCAATTTTGCCAGACACTAAGGCTGCTACCACCTTGACCTTAAATGGGCTTTCTCATCCATAGAACTGTGAGAAATAAATTTCTGTTATTTGAGCTACCTGGACTGTACTGATTTGGTACAGCACCACAAACTCAAATAGGCAACCTTAAGGAAAATGACCAAAAAAGGCTTCTCCAAGTAAATATCCTTATCAGTTGTTCACATCTCAAAGCAAAGTATCTTCATACCTTTATAAACTAGCTAGAGGGCTGGGAAGGTGGCTCAGTGGTAGAGTGCTTGCCTTGAGCTGGTGCTGTGGCTCAAGTGGTAGAGTGCTAGCCTTGAGCTGAAGAGCTGAGCTCAGGACAGTGCCCAGGCCTAGAGTTCAGGCCCCATGACCGGCAAAAACAAAAACAAAAAAAAAACCTAGCTAGAAAAAATGGGATGATAGTAAAAAATAGGATAGAGTGGCAGTTAACCAATTTATAAAATATATGTATCTTTGACCTATTACTTTATAACAGGAGTGTGGGTTTTTTAAGGAAATAGAGTATCACTAATAGGATTCCAGTATTTTAGTTACCTTTCTAGTTTGAGAAGTAAAATCTTCATCAGTTGTTTCAAATTTCCTAGATTTTTTCTTTGATTTTCTGGGAGTATTAATTCTGATGAATTTCATTCTGAAAAAAAGATAACATTATTTAGAAACATTTTCCTAATTGTAATGTTCAAGAATCTCCAACATAGAAATGAACAAACTAAGGCTTCAATTTCTGGGCTTAATTATAAATATGAGGAAAAAAGCAATTCTCATCAATCCAATTAAAAACTATGTAAACTTTTTTAAAGCTTACACTAATTACATGAAGGGATTTCATTAATATATCTCCACACAATTTATACTATAGTCCAATTAATCCCACTAATCTCACCCCCTCTATCAAACTTCCTGCCTGCTAAACTATATTTTTTTTGTGGTGCTGGGGATCAAACCCAGGGTTTTGTGTATGCAAGGCAAGTAGTTTACCACTAAGCTATGGTCCCAGGCCCAAACTTTATTTATTCATTACTTTTCTGTTACATTTTTTAAATTTTTTTGTCTGACACAGGGCTTGAACTGAGGGCCTGGGCTCTATCTCTAAGCTTTTTGCTCAAGGCTAGTGCTCTACCATGAGAGCCACAGCTTTTTCTGAGTAGTTTACTGGAGATAAGAGTCTAATGGACTTTCCTGCCTGGGCTGGCTTCCAATTGTGATCCTCAGATTTCAGCCTCATGAGTAGCTAGGATTACAGGCATGAGCCACCAGTGCCTGGCAACTGTCTTTAGAAATAATAAAACTTGGGGGCTGGGAAGATGGCTCAGTGGTAGAATGCTTGCCTTGCATGCATGAGGCCCTGGGTTCCATTCCTCAGCATCACATAAGCAGAAAAAGCCAGAAGTGATGCTATGGCTCAAGTGGTAGAGCACTAGCCTTGAGTTGAAGAGCCGAGGGACATTACCCAGGCCCAGAGTTCAGGCTCCACGACCGACAAAAGAAAGAAATAATAAAACTTAGCTGGGCACTGGTGGCTCCCACATGAACTTCTAGCTACTTTCCTGCCCAGGCTGGTTTTAAACAGTGATACTCAGATCTCAGCCTTCTGAGTAACTAGGATTACAGGCGTGAGCCACCAGCACCTGGCTTAATAATAAATCTGACAGAAAACTGGTCCCTAGGATATTTTTTGTTTGATGTGGTTTTTTGTTTGTTTGTTTTTATCGGTCATGGGGTCTGAACTCGGGCTGGGCACTGACTCTTGGCTCTTCAGATCAAGGCTAGTGCTCTACCACTTGAGCCACAGCGCCACTTCTGGCTTTTCCTGCTATGTGGTGCTGAGGAATGGAACCAAGGGCTTCAGGCATGCAAGGCAAGCACTCTACCACTGAGCCACCTTCCTGGCCCTGTTTGGTGTGTTTTTGAAAAGGGGTATAATTATTGGCCAAGTCTGGCCTGAAAATCACCAACTGGCTTCAAACTCAAGATCCTACTGTTCTAGCCTCCCAAGTGCTAGAATTACAGGAGTAATTCACCATCCTAGGCCTTAGGATCATTCTTACATTAGCCAGAACCACCATGTAAGTATGTACTTCATCTTGTATTTACTTTCTCCAAGAAATAAAACTCCAATTTATTGAATCCATTTGTTAAATATGCAGGATTCATATTGGATATTTCTCCAAGGGTTAACAACCGTGATAAATAAGTTTACAACTCATCTAAAATATATCTGAAATTGTGATTGACTTGAAATGGAATGTTCAAAACAAGAAACATAGTTTTATACTGGTGGCACATGCCTATAATCCTATCTACTCAAAAGGCTGAGATCTGAGGATAGCAGTTTGAAGTCAGCCTGGGCAGAAAAGTCCCCATGAGACTCTTATCTCCAATTAACCACACAAAAACCAGAAGCGAGCCCAGCACCAGTGGCTCACACCTGTAATCCTAGCTACTCAGGAGGCTGAGATCTGAGGATCACAGTTCAAAGCCAGCCTGGGCAGAAAAGTCTGAGACTTTTTTGGGGGGGAGGAGGAGGGTGGTCATGAAGATTGAACTCTGGGCCTGGACACTGTCCCTCAGCTGTTCAGAACAAGGCCCAGGCTAGCACTCTACTACTTGAGCCATAGCACCACTTCTGTTTATGTGGTACTGAGGAAATGAACCCAGTGCCTCATGCATGCAAGGCAAGCACTCTACCACTGAGCTACCTTCCCAGCCCTCCCAGGATTCTTATCTTCAATTAATCACCAGAAAACCAGAAGTGGTACTATGGCTCAAGTGGTAGAGTACTAACCTTGAGCTGAAGAGCTCAGGGACAGCCAGCACCCAGGCCTAGAGCTCAAGCCCCACAACCAACATAAAAAAAAAAAAAAACAGAAGGGGCTGGGAAGGTAGCTCAGTGGTAGAGTGCATGTCTTGCAAGCACGAGGCCCTGGGTTCGATTCCTCAGCACCACATAAACAGAAAAAGCCGGAAGTGGCGCTGTGGCTCCAGTGGTAGAGCACTAGCCTTGAGCTGAAGAGCTGAGGGACAGCGCCCAGGCCCAGAGTTCAGGCCCCATGACCGGCAAAAAAAAAAACAGAAGTGGAGCTGTGACTCAAAGTGGTAAAGCACTAGCCTTAAGCAAACCAGCTCAGGACAGTGCCCTGGTCCTGAATTTAAGCCCCACAGACCCACATACACAAAAGGAAACATTGTGAAATCATGTTTTTTCTTTTTTTGCTAGTCCTGGGGCTTGAACTCAGGGCCTGGGCACTGTCCCTGAGCTTCTTTTGCTCAAGACTAGCACTCTACCACTTGTACCACAGCACCACTTCCAGCTTTTTCTGTTTATGTGGTACTGAGGAATCAAACCCAGGGCTTCATACATGCTAGGCAAGCACTCTACTTTACTAAGCCACATTCCCAGCCCTTCTTTTTCTTAGTAATCAGTTGTGGTCTAGAAAAGAAATCAAATCCTTCAATGCTTAAAATATTTTCCTTTCCAATTAGTAATATTGTAGAATGTCAGAACATTAGAACAAAAACAAAACCTTACCTGATAGGACTTTCTGAATCTGAGGATACTGTTATTAACTCTGCAGTGTATAGGCTATGCTTTTCTGATGGGCTAGATTTTTTTACTGGACTATTGTCTTGTGTATCTTCGGAATCAGTAGCTCTTAGAGCTACCGAAGTATTTATGTTTCTATTTCTTAAAGATCTCCTGGTTGATTTGTACGTAGAAAGATTTATCAGTCCATCTTCAAATTCAGCTTTAGAATGCATAATCTTGTTTTTAATTGGTGTACTGGTTTTTCTTGATGTATTGTCACTCAGAGGAATCTTTAAAAGGTTATCACAAGCAAGACTTTCACTGTTAAATAATGTACTGCTTTTGAAAACTTCTGGTTTCTTTTGTCTTAAACTCATTCTATGCTTATTTTGATTTTGTTTATTTTTTAAGGAAAAGGTTGTTTCTCTCATTTGAGTATTACTCTCTCTGTTTTCGCCTGAAGTATCCCTATCATCTAATGTTTTCTTACCCTTTTTCTTTAACTTTTTACTTTTCTCCTTTGGAAAATTTCGTTTCTCAATGTGTGATTGTGAACTGTCATTATTTGAAACCATTTGGCTACTAGAATTATCCGTGTTTAATTTTTTACCATTCTCTCTTTCTTCCTCATTTGAAGATTTTTCATTCAGGTCTTTCTGCTTATCTGAAGATTTTTTAATTCCATTTTTAAGTGCATCTGACACTGGCTGCCTAAATGCTTTCATAAACTGCTGTCTCTCTTCTAGGCTGCACTTTGGTTTCACAGCTTCTGAACCTCCAGTCTCCAACACTGCCAACTCAAGTTCTTCCTCCTGTATCACAACGTTAGATTTCCTTTTCTGAACTGTATGTTCATTCTCAGGATCAGAAAAACTAGTCTCCATCTCAAACTGCTTTTGTTTCAAGAAGATTGAGGGAATCTTTCCTATCTTTTTGGGGGGAGTGGGGTGAACCTGTGCAAGGACAGTAACTGTCTTAAAGTGTACCTGCTGAGATAGTTCACAGTTTTCTGGTTCACTTATATAATCACTTTTGGCCACTTCAACTGTGTCAGAAGAAACACAAATTGACATTGTAGAGTCTGGCATCTGTTGCCTTTGACTTTCCTTGTGACTTTTTAGAAATTCCTCATAGGAGACAGTTACTGTACTATCATGTAAATTGACAATTTCATGATCACTAGCATTAGCATAATCTGTAACACTCTTAGTTTCATGAGTTAGAGAAGGCATTGTCTGTTTACCATCTTTACAAGCTTTTAGTTCTTCTCCCAAGAGTAAATTTTCAGGTAGATCAATTACATCTCTGTGCTTTCTTTTCCTCAATCTTTTGCAATCGCTTTTTGTGGTGCCTTGTTTAGGATTTACTTTCTTTAAACTCTTATTGGTGGTTAGAGTATTTGATTGGTTTCTGCTAGCTTGAAAACTTTCTGCAACAATCTCTATGGGTTTCTTGTGAAGTAAAATAGAGGTACTTTTCTCCACAAAATCATTATTTAAACTATAATCATCCCTAGTATCATCATTACTAATTTCAATTCGAGATTCAGTCTCAGTTTTAATATTATTTAGTTGATGAGATAGATTAACCCTCTTTCTTTTCTTTTTCAGCTCTATATTTGAGAACATTTCCACAGATGTCTTACAGTCATTGTTACTGTCAGTAGGCGATGGTGAAGACAAATTTATCTTGCAATCTTTTGCTGATTGTAACTTCTCATTCATAGGTGAAGTCTTCCTAAAGTAACGCATAATATTACTGGATTTCGATGGAGAGAAAACCCTGTCTCCAGTCTTTCCTATTGGTGATAAATATTTTGTAATTGTTTTGCAGGAAGATCTGTCATTGTCATCTTTCCTTCGCTTTTTGCAAGGCTAACAATTTAAAAGAAAAAAAGCATTTATTTCAATAAGTGAAATTATACAAATATAAAATAGGGATCTAACATTTGGAATACATGGATTTTTTAAAAAGCAAGAACATTGGGCTGGGAATGTGGCTTAATGGTAGAGTGCTTGCCTAGCATGCATGAAGCCCTGGGTTCAATTCCTCAGTACCATATACACAAAAAAAGCTGAAAGTGGTGCTGTGGTGCTTGAGCCAAAGATGCTCAGGGACAGTGCCCAGGCCCTGAGTTCAAGCCCCATGACTGGCAAAAAATAAAAAATAAAAAAAGCAAGAATACTTTGGTAAAAGCATGATACACACACACACACACACACACATATAAAATATATATTAGAAAGTGAGCTTTCAAGTTACACAATAAAACAAAAATGACTGAGATAACCTGCTTCAATTGCTTTTTACTGTCTTTCATCTGTAGAATACAGAAATCATCTCATCACAAAGTTGATATTAAACAAAATAATCTATTAAAAGCCTTTACCTTTACCATCCCACATAGAAAGTACCATCATGAAAGAGGCTCTCTCAGGCTTAGTGTGGCTTAGTGGTAAAGTCCTTGCCTAGCATGCATGAGGCCCTGGGTTTGATTCCTCAGTATCACAAACACAGAAAAAGCTGGAAGTGGCACTGTGGCTCAAGTGCTAGGCTTGAGCAAATGAAGCTCAGGGATAGTGCCCAGGCCCTGAGTTCAAGCCCCAGGACTGGCAAAAAAAAAAAAAAAAGGAGAGAAAGAAATACACAGGAGGGTGTGAGGAAGAGAGGCTCTCTCAAAAGTGCACCAACCGGCTATGCAGTACATGTAATGTAATCCTAACCTTCATAACTATAATACATTGCTCAATTTCAGACCTAAGATAACCGGGGATGACACCTACATACATTTGATACTATATGACCAGAAAACCAGCATGCCAAATTATTTTCAATTCTTTACATGCTATCATAATGCTAATATATGTATTCTTACCATTTTGTTCTGTCAATTTAACTAAATGATTTTTCTTTTTTCCTGGGACTTGAACTCAGGGTCTGGGCACTATCCCTGAGCTTTTTTGCTCAAGGCTAACAATCTACCACTTGAGGCACAGCTCCACTACTGGCTTTTGGTAGTTAATTGGAGATAAAGAGTCTCACACACTTTCCTGCCCAGACTTGCTTCTAACTTCAATCCTTAGATCTCAGTCTCCTGAGTGGCTAGGATTACAGGTATCAGCTTTGAACACCCAACTTTTTTTTTTTTTTCCTGGTACTGGGGATTAAACCCAGAACACTGTACTTGCTAAGCAAGTGCTTGCCTCTGAGCTATATCCCAGCTCTTTTTATTTTTTTAAGTAGATGATTTTTCAAAAGCATTCATGAAGCATGACTATGATAAAGAACAATAGCCAAATATTTGAAGTCTTGGCAAAATACTTCACATATTAGCTGGATGCCGGTGGGTTCACACCTGTAATTCTAGCTACTCAGGAGTATGAGATCTGAGGATCACCAGCCTAGGCAGAAAAGACCTGGTGAGACTCTTATCTCCAACAAACTACTCAAAAAAGCTGAAAGTGGCATTGTGGTTCAATTAGTACAAAGAGGCTCAGGAACAGTGCCAAGGCCTTGAGTTGAAGTCCCATCTTATAGCATGTTTGAGCATTTGATACAATATTAGAAAAAAAAAGTGCATCAAAACCAGAAACTAAACAAAAGACCCATACAACTAACAAGAATAGAGCTGGTACCAGGCACCAGTGGCTCATGCCTGGAATCTTGGCTACTCATGAGGCTGAGATCTGAGGATGTGGTTCAAAGCCAGCCTGGGCAGGGAAGTTGGCAAAACTCCATCTCAAATTACCAGTTAAGAAAAAAAAAAAAACTGGCCTGGAGGTGTGGCTCAAGTGATAGAGTATCAGCCAAACAAGCAAGCCAAGTGACTGCCTGAATTTAAACTCCAGTACCCCTTAGTAAAGGTTCAAAAATTAGCATATAAGCAATCAAACAAAAATCCCATAATTCAAGTGCCAGAAGCCCTTCAGACCTGAGACAAGCTAAATAAACAATACATTTGGTTAGCAAACAATAGCGGTAAAAATAAATTTCTAATAGACAAAAATTACTGGATTCTAAAAAATCGGGAGTCCCAGTTAAGTGAGAATACATTTTAGCTTACTTCAAGAACACAAGAGATACAGTCTGAGGTGAAAAGATATAAAACCTAGAGGCGTATACCCCGTCTTTATAATGACTGTTTAGTGTACTTCCCTGAAACCGGATAAATATATAGAACATCAACATGCCATGCTGGAATTCCTCACTGCTGTATATTACACTCTAGGGCTGGGAGAAACTGATTTCTCTATTAGGTACATTTATTGCTTCTTAAAGTGACATCCTGAATGGAACTCCTAGAATAGGATGATTTGTGGACTTCTCAGAGAGATCTTCTTCAGCGCTAAAGTTCTATGATTCCCTCGGCTGAACCCAGAACTTGACACAGGTTCTATAACTTGTCACAAACCCCAAAGCAACGCTTTCCACCACCCCATTTTAAAATCTAGAAACTGGACGTGGTTGATCCCAGACTTCCTGAGACCACGAAAGCTTCTCCCAGGCTCACGTTGGTCGGGATTGACCAGCCTTCCACTCATCCACACACAGGGGCAACGTTCTCAAGCGATCTCTCGACTGTGTGGTGGGTCTTTACGATCGCTCCCTTCCTCCCCCTCCTCCCCTCCGGGAGGCAAACCTCGGGATCGCCTTCCACCCGCCCCTCACCTTCCCCACCCCACCCCACCCCTCCACAGACGAAGAAAGGAAACTTGACAGAAACCCCGGACCTCACCTCAATCTCGTAGTCCTTCACGGGAGGGGGAGCAGCTGCAGCCGCCATGGCTAGGACCCCCACCATGCTCCCTGCCTCCCCGAATCCCAGCTCTTAGGACCTTGTGCCGCCCAGCCTGGCCTGTCCGGAGGCCATGGAGGCGGCCAGCTCCGAGCCGAGGAGTCCCTGGGCCTTCGGATCCCGCTCAGGTCCGCCACAGCCCACCAGACCCGAGCGGAGGCTGGGCCCAGCTCCGCAGTCAAAGGCGGAAAAAAAAACCAAACAAAAAAAAAGGCGGCGAGAAAAAGGCGGGCAGCGCGGTTCCCCCGGACGCGGCCCGCAGATACAGGGAGCTTCGGCGATGGGCGATGCCGGCCGAGCGCTCGGGACCAGGGCCCGGGCGAGGACCGGCGGGAGAGCGCCGCTCGGCCGCGGGGCTTCGGCGGGAGTTCTTGTCAATTGGGTTTTCGCGCCGTCCTGAGCTCAGGGGGCGGAGTTGACGGGTGCATCTGGAGTCTGCGCAGACGGTGAGCCCGGAGGGCCAAAAGAGTCTCTTTAGCGAAGCTGCTGGGAACGACACCAAATCGTCCCCATATTGAAAACGAACGGAGTTTTGCCATCTGAGAGGCGAATTGAGTAAAATCACACAGTGAGTCACAGAATTAAACCTGAGACTCTAAGCTAGTCTTTTTATTTCTTTTCTTTTTTTTCTTTTTTTGGGCGGATCCTGGGGCCTGAACTCTGGGCCTGGGCGCTGTCCCTCAGCTCTTCAGCTCAAGGCTAGCGCTCTACCACTTGAGCCACAGCACCACTTCCAGCTTTTTTCT